GCAGTCCCGGTCGCCCAGCTCCGCGCAGTCCCGGCCGCCGAGCTCCGCGCAGCCCTGGGCGCGCAGCTCCGCGCAGTCCCGGCCGCCCAGCTCCACGAAGCTACGGGCGCCCAGCTCGGAGCAGCCCCGGCCGCCGCTGTGGCGCTTCCTCCTGCCGGGTCGCCGGGACTCGCCGCGAGGGCGTGTCCACACGGCCCGCCCCGCCGCCGGCCCGGCAGCCACCTGCACCCGCGGCCGTTGGGGAGGGGAAGTGAGAGCCCCTCGCGGACCGGGGGGCGCCGTCCCGGCATCGCTCGGGGGGCAGAGCAGAGCGGCTTTGCGCCACGTGCGCCCCACTACTGGGGCAGCGAGGTGACTCTCCCTGATCAGTCGCCGAAGAGCAGCTCGAGGTGGCACGGGCTTTGGAAAAGGAGATGAGGACAGGGCTGACCGCCCGGCCTTCTGTGACTTAGGGTGAGAGGTGGGTAGGAGCGCCAGCTGGCCAAACCACCTCCTCATCCCCCGGGGGGGGGGGGGGGGGGGCTTTGTTCCCAGCTGCTGTCTCAGCAGGAACGGGAAGGGGGCAAGAAGAGGAAGAGGAGCTAGGCTGGCCAGCTGGTGCTCACATACCCTGGCTGGACCTCACTGATCAACGATACCCATGAGTAACCTCCAGTGACTTTTCTGCAGTTTCTTAGGCCTGCTCTCTTGGGTGCACATGCATTAATTATAACCAAATATGGCTAATATATAATTCTCATTGCCATGTATTGTGTCACTTTCCGCTAGACCCTGTTAAATGCCTTATAGGCCTCATAACCCTTTCAAGTAGTATCCCTTCATATTAGAGCTAAAAGAATAAGACGAGTATCTTGCTCAGGCTTCCACACAGTGTATCATTCCCTGCAGGTTCAAGAACTGGCTGAGTTCAATGCCAGGCCCATATGATTCCCAAGCTTAAGACTCCACAATCAACACTCTTGGTACCAACAGTCAGGAAACCAAAAGACAAATTGCATTGAGAAAGTCTGCTGTCAGAGACCTCTCCAGACTCCTGAAGAACAACTGTGTCAGTCTGGAAACAAAGGTGCGCCTGATCCAGGATGTGGTCCTCACAATTACTTGCTATGTATCAGAAAGCCATGACTAGAGATGATAGAAGGAGAATTGATGCCTTTGAGCTATGGTGCTGAAGAAGAGTATTGAATATACCATGGACTGCCAGGAGAACAAACAGGTTCGCCCTAAAGAGGGTGAAACCAGGCTGCTCCTTGGAAGCAAGGATTCTGAAGTCTGACTTACTTTGAACATGTTGCAAGGAGGGACCAGTCCTTGGAGAGGGACATCATGTTTGGGAGGATGGAGGGACAGCGCAAGAGAGGAAGACCTTCAATGAGATGGATTGACTCAGTGACTGGGGTAATGGGGGTAGGTGTGTCAGAGAGGATAGAGCAGGGTTCAGAGCTGTACACAGCTGCTTGATGGCACATAACAACAACATCATTCTCTTGCTTACCAAGTGCAATCACATGTCCCCTTCTTGTCACCCAGCTGTTGACTGCTCCTGGGAGTAGTCTGAATAATCTGAGCCCTTAGAGTTCTCAATGCCAGAGATAAACTCAGAGGACAGGGCTGAAGGAAAGACTCAGATTTAAGTTTAGTGAAAATAAATTACCTGGATGGAAGAATGGAAATACCAGGGATGAGGCCAATTGTTCATTTCCTATTGCTCCCATATCAGCTAGACGGCTACTCTGTCCTGAGGAGTCATTATGAGTTGGAATAAACTCAACAGCACAGTAACCTACTGGTAGGGAAAGGCACTGCCAACCCAAAGGCAAAGAATTCCACTCCATCATCTGTTCTGAGGGAGAAGTCTCCTCTGAAAATCTGCTGGAGGGTCATCTATGGGTCAGACTTGACCATACGAAACAACAACTTAACCTACAATAAAGAGCTCTGGCGGCCAAGTGTAAAGACCTGTCCTGCAAACTCAGACAGATGGTTCAAATCCATCAGCTGCTCTGCAGGAGAAAGACATACAGTCTCTTCCTGTGCCATTTATAGCCTTTAAAACCCCCTGGAGTGTCAAATATGAGTCAATTCTGACTCGAAGGCACGTAACAACTACTGCAGCATAATCTACCAACATTGCTAGACTATCTCAGATAACTAACAAGAACTACATCACTGATTACTTCTACTTTACTGATGGAGAAACTAAAATTCAGGAATTTAAGATCGTTTTTCCAGTTACAGAACTGGAACTGAAGGGTCAGTCTGAGCCCAAAGTGCATGTAGCACATGATACATTGGATGTCCTCCGGAGAGTTACTTTTAAAGTACACATATATCTTGTTTAATTGTGTTTCATTTTATTGCACATCCCAAAGACTACATGTTCTATAAGTTTGAGGTTTATGGCATCCCCACATTAAGCAGGTCTATTGGCACCTTTCCCCCAGCAGCCTGTGTTCACTTTGTGTTTCTGTCACATTTCAGTAATTCTCATAGAACTTCAAGCTTTTTCATAATGCCATCACACACTTAATAGGTTCTAGTGCCAACATAGTTTTATGTGCACCTAGAAACAAACGAACAAAAAAATTCTATTGTCATACTTGCTTTATTGCAGTGGTATGAAACCAAAGCCACAATATTTCTGAGGCCGGCTTGTACTTCCTGAGGACACATGGGTGCTGTCAAATAGAGGTCACCCTTGAATCCTTCGCACTTTAAGTCACGTGCAGATGTTACCTTCATTCAGGCGTGAAAGGATGTCTTGAATATTTTCTCCTACTTCTGCCACCTGAGGTGCCGAAGCAGAAAGTCTAAGCAGCTGTGACAAAAATTTAAGAGTTGGTCTTATAGACTATTACAGTGTTGGAGAGTGGAGAAGATGTCGTTACATCTACTTTTGACTCACAGTGACTCAGTGTGACAGAGAAGAACTGTGCTGATAGGGTTTTCCAGACAGTAATCTCTAGGAAGAAGGTCGAGAGATTTCCTCCTTAGTTACTGCACGGCTTCGAACCATCAACCTTTTACTTAGCAGTTCAGCTCTGGACTGTAGATTATGTTTTGTTTTTTCTCAAGCCAGGGCTCCTTGAGAAAGACCATAAGTGACATTACTGAAACAAGATACAAAGCCAAGAGAGGCAAATGGCTTTTCTTTTCTTTTTTTTATTAATTTAGTTTGTTTATTTTTCATTTCAATGAACATCTACAGAGGTTTTGGAATTCCATTCATTCATTGTTGCACCCTTCTCCCCGCACAAACCCCCCCCCCCCCCCCCCCCCCCCCCCCCCCCCCCCCCCCCGTTTGCTCCTCTCCTTGAAAAGCAAAAGAAAAACTCCCTCATTGGTACACAATCCCCCCCGCACCTCCCCAAACCCCACCCCCTACCCCCAAATATAATCCACTCTGCAACCCTCATTGCATACTCCTACGATAAAAATAATGCCCTAAAATATAATACTTTTAGACTATTCTCTCCCCCATAGACTTCAATGCTGTAAACATATTGCAAAAACTGGATGAAATATGCAAATGGCTTTTCTAATGCCATTCCTTGAGTTTGTGGCAGAATCAGGACTAAAACTATGGTCCTCATTCCAGATTCACTGTTTTTGTTAGGTCTAACCAATGATTTTTCTGCCTAATAATAAATTATTATTAATTCTTTTCTTGATCTGATATTTTAATTTTGTCATTCTTTTCAACTCCTGTTTATTACTAGCTCCCAGAAGATAGTCCATAGGGAATAGTGCTGATAATGAAACGTTTTCCCGGGGAGAGGGATAGACTGTCTCCTCCTGTGAGATTTACTGCCTCTGAAAAAGCGCTGCAAGGTCAGCTGTGAGTTGGTTCCGACTGGACAGTACCTAATGACAACATCCCGTATTTTAATGTGTTACAAATGAGCAAACAGATATGTTCTGGAGGCAGGACAGCCAGAGTGCTCCTTGGAGGCAAAAATAACAAAACTTGGTCTCACATACTTTGAGCATATGACTAGGAGAGACTATTCCTTGGAGAGGGACATCATGATTGAAAAAGTGGAGGGTCTACACAAGGGAGGAAGACCCTCAATGAGATGGATTGACACAGTTACCACTGCAACGGGATCAGTTATGTCAGAGATTGTGAGGATGGCACAGGATAGGACAGGGTTCAGATCTGTTGTACACAGGCTCCCAAGGGGTTGTACTTGCCTTGAAGGCAGATAACAACAACATTTCTACTGTAATTTGGTTCTCAAAATAATATCCAGTCCTCTTTGCCATTTCTTCTTTGAGCCATTTTTTAGTTCTTTTAAGTTGAGTTAGTTTCTGAATATTTGAGTTTAGGAGCATTGTTACGAATTGATTTCTAATTTAATTTCATTTTTCATATGGTTGGAACACAGACTCAGGACTATTTTTTTTCCGTTTATTGAGGTTAGTTTCATGGCCAAGTTTATGATGTCTCTTCATGAATGTACAATGTGCATTTAAAGGAAAAAAGAAAACCACAACACCATAATCTGCAGAATAATCTGCTGTTGAATGTTCTGTAAATGTCAATTTGTTGTTGTGTACCATTGACCCATAGCTGACCCTACAGCGGGTTTTCAGAGGCATTTAATCTCATGGGAGGAGACTGCCCATTTTTCTCATGGAGCAGGTGGTGGCCTCAAACTGGAGGCCTTTAGGATTGCAGCGCAGCTTCTTGCCACTAGGTTACCAGAGCTCCCAAATGTCAATAAGGTCAAGATGCTCCATCATGCCATTTTGATCCCCTTTGCAATCATTGGGGCTGCTGTAAAAAAAACTACTGCAAAATTGGAAACTTAAAACAAGAGAAATTTATTCTTTCACAGTTCTGAAGGCCGCAAGTTCAAATTTAGAGTGCTGAGCCTTGCTCTGTCAAAAGTCTAAGGGGGGAAAAAAAATCACAATTGAAAAAAAAAAA